ACACACACACACACACACACACACACACACACACACACACACACACACACACACACTGCCCTGAATAGTCCCTGATGCCCAGGTAGAAGTTGGTCTTTATGTCTCTCTCAGCCATTAATCTTTAAATGGAACTGCCGCCTCAGGTCAAGTCTCTAATTAGACCACAAAAGATATTTCTCGTGCAGCAGTGTAATCTTGTGTCACCTCTGACCTCTGCTGTTTTATTGCAGAAACCCATCAGCTCCTCTGGCTTTTACTTTTGTGCGCTCAGATCGATATCACTGTACATTGTGTTCCCTGTCACTTTTATTACCTCTGCTGAGGCGGTTATGTCTTTGTCTGTGTCTGGCTGTCTGTGAGGCTACGCTCACACTGCAAGCTTTAGTGCTGAATTCTGATTTATCACTCTGATCCAGTTTTGGGAGTTTGACAGTTCACATTATTTTCTTATTGTAGGCATTATGTGTTCAGCATTAGACTCAGACACATCCAGAGACTCAGTTGTCTGAGTGGCTCTGAAATTCTTCTGGACATGGGCTTCATCTCTGGAGTCTGGGTCATCTGTCTGGGGAAACTTGACACATCAAGGTGCGGCTGATGAGACAGAGGACGGCTGCTTTGCAGGAGGTTACTGGGTGGTTCTCTTGAGCTTAGTGACGTCAATGTGTCAGAGATCACAAAAACCACCAGAGAAGGATACAAACATTTTGAAAAAAAAAAACCCCAATTGTGTTCTGGAAATATTCATTTTATTTCATTGAAATAATCACAGTACATGTACATAACATCCGAGTGATCAATGCACACAGAGGATGCTGGGGCAAAGGTGAATTTAGTGCAGTCACCAAGCATAGACACAGTAATTAGAACATTTATTCTTGACTAGTGGAAGTCTGTGTCAGCAGTACAAGCTGTATGTTTGACGTGGTTTGAAGTTAATTTAATTTAATTAAATGAACAAGAGCAGCTTTGCCACCTGGATATGATTGTGGAAAAATATCATCTGAATCACCACTACGTGTGATGAAGACATTTTTTACATAAAGGTTGAAATAATATAACTGGCCAGAATTACACATTAACAGATGAGTCACAGTTAATAAAAAACAATGTTATTTGAATTTGCAGGGTGAGCATACCAAGCTTTTGGTTTCCAAAATCATTATGAAAACCTATATATACTTGCAGCATAACATCCCTTGTTATAAATGTGAGAGTGCAATAATTGATTTTAAGTTCTTAAAGGGACATATATCACCAATCTTTACCTTTACCTCTGGGAGCTTAAATCAGCAGAAACATGAGCAGCAAGGCAAACAGGTCAGAGGTCAAAGCTCTTTGGCAGAAGTACAGACAAAAGTGCTTTATAAAGAAATGAAAGGGCCTGAGAGAGAAAACCGCACAAGCTGTCTTTTTCTTTTGTGCCTAAAGTCAGAGTCACTGCTGAAGTGGATATTTGTTTGTGTTCAGAAGCATCAGACTCTCGCAGCTGACCACTCTCCTCCTGGACATCGGTGTCTGAAGTCTCTTCTGTCATTTTGAGTAGTGGGCAAACGGAGACCCTTCATTGACTTTGCCCTGAAAGGATGAAATGGGTTTAAGAAAAAGAAACAAATGATTAATTCAACCTGCAAACAACTTGCAGTAACGTCATAATCTAGACTGAACTAAAATTAAATGTGGCTCAGTGAAGCTTGAAGAGTTGCTTTTTTGATTGCGTCTTTTATCTGTATCATCTTGTTCCAGCTCAGTGTAACAGATTAATTCTCGGCTGTCAGTCCTCACACAAATCAAAATGTATTAATATGAGGGACTGAGAGAAGCTGCTGTCACCTCTAAGAATCAAGTGTCAACGGCTTTCAAATGTTAATTGGATGAATATAAAATGTGGGGATGTGTTTGCTTTTGTCAAGAGGCTCCAGAGTCAGGCAAAATGAAATATTGCTCTAAAAATGCAAATTTGAGCTCTTAAGACACAACTCTTTATCTGTATACTGTATATCTGTTTTTCCTCTGAAATGGATCTATGTATTTGCATCCTTCTACTTCCTCAGAGAAAACAAAATAATCAAACTAAAGAAATGCTGTTGGAACAAAACAAAGTAAATAAGAAATTCAAGCCAGTTGTTCTGCGTCTTATACATTTGTGTATCTCCTAAAAGGTCTGTTCTTATCCGGTGAACTGTGTTCAAAATCCCTTCTGTCACTCATTAAACCTGTAGGCTATCTTTTTATCATCACCAGCTCACTTTGCAAAATCAGCTGTTTCTGTGTGGACGCACATGTTGCATTAAGAGCTGTGGTGTACGTCAGTATGCTGTACTCTCAGTTCTCATCCAGCACCACGTCTTAAAAGTGTTTTACTGTGTCTGCACTCGTGTGGTAATAAAGATTTATAGGCAGCTGGTCACAGTAATCATATTCCATGGAGTGTTATCCTTGCACTCCAAAAACAGATATGTTGTTTTTCAAACGGTGGAGCCGTCCCTCTCAGTTACACTATAACTTAAAAACATGAGACGACTCCAGGATGCAGCGTCTGAATCCCTGCTGACTCGCTGATGGAGTGCTAATGATAAGCTTTCATTTCACAAGGAAGTGCATCACCATGCACTGTCCTGTTTGTGACAGTTCTCGTCAGCCTTCCTGTTTGCGTAATAAAAAAAAAACAGAGAGTGGCAAACCACCGCTGCTGAGTGGAAAAGGAAGAAATGACACATGGCAGTTGAAAACATGTTCAATGTTAAACCTAACACACGACTAGGGTTCACAGTTCAAACCCCTGTGGAGCCAGACATTGTGCTGCTGCAGGAGCTACACAGTCTTGAGAGATCCTCAATATATTTTTGTCACATGGTTGGCTGTTGTTTCCTTTTGGTTCCTGGTTTAATGCATTTTGTTTGTTAGCTGACTTTAAGTTGTTGTGTGCATGCTTCATCCTCATGTGGTCGGGTGAGCTACTTAAATGAGTTGCATGGGAAGAGTTGAGAGTTTTTCAGTGTTTTTCTATGTGAGGTTTTACAGAGGCAGTGTGGTGGTTTAAGCATGCTAACATGTTCACTATGTTAGCATGCTGATGTGAAGCTGTATCATTTTTTTGCCATGTTTGTAACTTTATTACTGTGTGAGCATGCTAACATTAACACTATAGCAAGTACTGTTGCTGATTGGAGTGTCATTATCACAGACTGTATATACAGATGACACACATTTCCCACTTTCAAAAAGTATCTTATATACAAATGCTGTCTGAGTCTGTGCAATAGTGAAAGGGAAGCGAGGTCCGAAACTCCGAATAACTAATTACAACGAAACTACTAAGAAACATGAAACAAATGTCTGTGTGATAAGAACTACCTAAACTGACAGAAACCATCTTTAAGAAAATTTATTTGACATGTACTTGTCACCTGATTCGACTTTTTTGTTTGGTCCACATCCTACCCACTAACTCATGTTGTCCACCTTCATATACAGTCTATGTTAATTATTTTATATTAACCAACCAGCTCACTAGTTGAAATTTAAATGACAATCATCCAACAGTAGATACTGAATTTAGCTCTGGACCAAACAGCCGACCAACACCACTATCATGGCTAAAAACATTTTTGAAAAAATAAAAATCATCTTAAAAAATGAAATGTCCTATTTCCCAACTCACCATAGGCACATCTTCAAGCCTCTCAAAATTGTTCCTTGATGGCGAGGTACATTTCACGGTGGCAACCACCAGCGTGAGGACGAGGATGATACAGAAGATGCAGATGATGGCGACGAGGCCAGGGTTTGTTGCCAAGCTACCTTTTTCCTTCTCCTGTGAAAGAGCTGAGGGAGAGACAGACAAAAGTTTACCTCGCACTGCAGCAAGTCTGAGAAGTTTGTAGTAGGAAATAAATATATTCAGTGTTGTCACTGGAGGTTGTCATCGTCAGTTTAATGGTAAATATTTAGAGGATAAACATGGAAGTGATTTTTTTTATATTTTACGTCTATACTGCACATTTCATGTGTGTGTTTTCCAATCCTTTTTGTTTCCGTGTTCACCTCACACCACTGCCAGGACATTCCGAATTAACTTAACTGTGTGTTTATTGCTTGATCATGAAAGAAGGTTGGTTAGAGCCCAACTGAGGAGATGCTTTTTTTCAGGAGACGTTCCTGACAAACTGTGGTCGTTCCGATTGGGGGCCTTCTTGATAAACGAACCACAATACTCACTGTCTAAATTTAATGTGTTGCTACCACAGCGTGTCAAACGTGTCAAAACAAGGGTCTTTCCACTTTGGTTGGTGCAGGATCACATGTCACTGTGAAACTCCCTGTTCTAAATGGTGCCATATTAGCTGCAATGCTAATCGTGCTGGCTGAGTGGCAGAGGTGAGTGCAGCTGCAGGTCAATAGTTGTCTCATACTGCGTTTATGGTTTCACAATAGCTTTCGAAAAAAGACCAACCGCTGTCTTCAACCCTCACTGATGAAATACTTTCTTTTCAGGTGAAAGAAACAACAAGTAAACTAAATATGACCGTGTAGAATTTAGAGTTAACAGCAAATAAAAAAGCTTTGTTAACTTTATGTTGTACTGTACGTTGTTTCATATTTTGACTTACATTAGGGAAAAAAATCAATGTGATTGATTCTGTCATGTTTTAGACATGTATAATTAATAATAATAATAAACCCTCAGCTCTGATGTCGTCTGACCTGGGCTGGTTGTGTTAACAGTGGTGTTTACGGTGATGTTTGGTGATCCTGATGTTGGTGGGATTGTCGATCCATTGGAAACTGCCTGGTTTGTTACTGGTATCCCAGTGGACGTCTGGTTGGTTTTAGGTGTCTCGGTGGACGTCTGGTTGATCACTGGTGTCTCAGTAGGACGGCTGGTGTCGGTTTCCTCAGTCCTATTTGGTGTTTGTGATGAAGTTGAGGGTGGTGATGACGTTTTCCCTGAGGTGACTGCAGTGGTGACCTGCTGTGATGGGTTGTTGGTGGTTGGTGAAATGACATGGTTTGTTTTTCCCACAGTCGAACTTGTGAGACGTGCACGACTTGTGGTTGACCTTGCTACCAGCTGTGTTGTAGAGGAAGTGGTGGAGTCTGCAAAAGCACAAAATGAAAAATTTAGCAAAGACGCACAACATTCAGACCTGATCGAGTTGAGTCCAGTGTGGGTGTTTGTGAGCTTTTTAAAGAACTAGAAGCAGAGGTATAGAAATTTACTACACGTTTATGTGCAGGAGGTGACTGAGAGTCCACCTCCTCTTTAGATTAGCTTCAGTTCATGACACAGTATCCACATACAAAGCAATGGACTTGGATTCCTAAATGGTTTTTCCCACTCATGTACCATGTTCAAGCCTCCTAAAAATACAGGATGCTTTTATTTTCCTAAAAATATACTTCGAGTGGGCAATGTTTAAAAACCCAGAGGCAGCAGGGGTGGATAAATAGAGGCTGTACATCCAGCATCACGCAGACCACAAGGAGCCAGTAAGTGTAATAAAATCATTTAACATTTCAAAAGGTTAATTTGTTTTGTACCATTTACATTTTTTGTCAAATGAAGATATACCGAATTTTGTATTTTGCCATCCATGCTAATTCAACACTAGCTCCCATCCAGTGACTGGACACATATTTCATTTATGAGCCAACATTATCAGTTTTCACTGTCTGTTAACGTCCTGATCAGCTGATAGATCGTTATTTAAAGTCCTAAACATTAAAACTCATCAAACACAGCAGACTGGTAAATGGAGTTAAATATTCTGTCTTTTATCTTCTGATAATCCTAATATTACTACAACTAGTATTTATTTCTGTTGGTTTACTTTGTTGTTCTTTATTCCAAATTCACTCTGTGGTTCACTTGGCTTGTAGCAGGCCATTGCTTGTGCTCTAGCGCCCCCTAAGGGCACTATAGGCCACAGCTGTTGAGCAGAATGTCACCTGTTTACATTTACATTTAGGGCATTTAGCAGACGCTTTTGTCCAAAGCGACCTGTATGTCGGATGATGTGTTTGTGACCTTGAGGAAGAGAGAAATAATTAATTAATTTATGTATAAAGTAATTACTTTAGCTTAACTAACCTAAGTTACTTTGCAGATTTCACATAATAATTGAACATTTGATCATAGAGTAAGACTTAACTGATGCACAGTGGGAAAACCGACAAACTTCATGAACGTAATCATCATTTGAATGCAACATTAATTTTAATACATTGCAATAATTAGATTTGATTTACATATACTATTACACAGAGATATGATAAAGCTCCAGGACAGTTACTCTACTTACTGGACCTTGGCAGGAGATTATGTCAGCTGCCGTTTCCAGGTCAATAATTTAATATTTTGTCTAATTTCAATCTTTTAAGATGAAAAGGCGGAGAAACCCTAAAAGTTTGCAGAGAAAAACAATAAACCATGAAATTAAAACAAACTCCATCTGCTGCTGGAGAGCGTGTGGTTTGGTCTAAAGCTCCATCACAGCCTCTAAAAATGGAGATGAGATAGTTTGAACAACTAATGAAGCTCCTGCCAGAGTCACAGTTCAGGTTGAGGTTCACATGACACTGTTGACTCAGAAGAGTGTCTAATAAAGCAGAATCAACAGTCTGTCAGCAAATAATTTGTGTTCACTGGTGACGCAGAGAGAGAGTAGTCATTCAGCTTCCATTGTGTGTGTGTGCGTGTGTTGATTTGGGAGTGTAACAGACAATCTCTAAATAAATATTTGCCCATTTCCACCCAGAGTGACCTTCCCTTTTACTTCCTCTCATGATTTGCTGATAGCAGCTCATACACTATTTCACTGGAATAATTTGTAATGAACAAAATGTAGAAACAAATATTGACTTGTATTTAACACCGACGCATTTTTATTATATAACATTAGATTATGTTTTAAGTTGCTACTGTTTTAATGCAATTCTATCCTCAAATAAACCATAAAAAGTGAAATATAAAGTTTTCCTGCAGCAATGAATCAACACCTAGAACACCCTGCGAAACGTCCTCTCCCTGTTGCTCGTTTGCATAACTTTGCATCTTTACAACACCTTGACATTCTGCTCAGTCAAATGTACGAACCTTCACATCAGCTAAGCCAGTTTAAGAGTTTAAAATGTGAAATATTGACTTACCTGTACAGGCGGTCACAGCAAACAGGGACAGCAGTAGAGTGAGGTGCATCGCTGAAGGCATGTTGAGAAGAAAAGGCTGTCGATCATAATGACAACATTTAAACAAACACTCACACACACACACTACATCCTTGACCATAGGATGTTGCTGAATGCCTGAGGCGGAGTGCCCTGTACGTAGGCTGGTACGTATCAAGTGCTTCAGGCGGGTGTGTTTGAATAAAGCTCCGCGTTTGCCAAGAGCTGCGTCCCTGTGGTGCTTATTATTCAAACATGTGACATTTCACTTTTCCTTCCTGCTGCTGCTGCTGAGTGAGATCACCTGCGAAGATACTGGTTATTGTAAGGTAGAGACATTTGCTTTGGTGGTTCTTAATACTTGTGAGTGTTTCCATGTGATGTTTTAGTTTCTGAACAGCAAGAATATATTTTATCTGTTATTAATAGTATTACTTTTCTTTGCTATATATCAAGAAGATTAAATTCAAAAAGCCTGATTCTACATTATCACCTAAAATAGAAAGTTACTCAAAGTCTTGTACTGCACTACAACCTGTTGAATGTTATTTCAGTTTTAGCAGATTTGTATCTATATTTTTCCACTGAATTCCTACTTATTGTCTCCTATGTATTTCTTTCATCGTTTAATATATTGAATGCTTTAGGAAACAAACTTGCATTGTGTTCTTCAAAGGTGAAACAATAAATAAGCTTTATCTACTGTTACAATTTATACCCTCATTTTTATTTATTCACAGAAATACTTAAAGCAAAGGAATGATCGCAAAAATCCTGAAGTTCTGGGGTCTAAACCTGTTCCCCTCAGATGTAAAGAACATCAGAGAATAATATATATTATCACTGATGTATTACATTTAAGCACCTAAATGTAATTTTCATAAAGATAAAGAGGACATAATAATTTATTTAATGTTCATCCACATTCTGGAGACTACTATGTAGTACTGCGGAGTAGTCTTAGACACAAGGTACCAAAAGAAAGTCATCACATACTATGAAAACAGAATTTCTGTTGAATTTATTTCATATTATCATTTGGTCAATTTCACGTCAGCTCATTTTCTCATCAAATATATTTTCAAACAATTAACACAGATTCTAAAATTAATTTGTACGCTAAAGACACAGGAGGCACATAACAGGTCAAATTTACAGCAAATCTGTGAAAACAGTAGCAGCATTACAAATGATGTCAATGAAATTAAACAAACACCCACCAAGCACTTTACCAGGAAGTTAATGTTCAGATCACACATCTCAACAACGGAAAAAAACACGATCTCAGTCGGGTTAGTTAAAGTATTTCTCAATCTGTTGGTCTTCTGAGTTTATTCAGAATGGTGCGAAAAATAAAATGCATGTACACGTCCACCTCTGCATTGTTTGTCTCTCGTTGCAAGTTAACTTAATATGAACCACGCTTGGTCTATTGCAGATTAAGTCAACCTTCTCAAAATGAAAGAGAGCTTATAAAAAAAAAGAATGTTCATTGTCCCAAGAGGGTAAATCTATTTCTAGTGATCTGGTCCAAGCTTGAGTTAAATTTCTTTAATTGAAGTCTGTGGAAGGTTTTACTCTGAATTAACTGCAGTTCTCAGGTCAGACAGCTCGACTGCTACTGTGTGTTTGATGTCTATTCTGTGTTTGACACGTGTTGAGTGTTTCAGTTTGTCAGATGACGAGTAGACTGATGGCTTATGAGCCGAAAACATTAACCACAGTGAGCACATCAGTTTTCTTCACTGCATGAAGTTAATCTGTTACGTGTGTTTTAAGTTTAACCTGCGCTGTCACTTAATATTTTTGGACACAAATGTATTTTTCTGTTCCTGTGGAGCACACTTCATTATAATAATTATAATAACAATAAACTGCTTCTAGCTGCCGTTTCTCACAGGAATATGTGTCATGCCAGAGTCGTCCGTTAAAGGTTGACTGTGATTAAAAAAGATGAACAATGTGTGTCGCATACAGATTCCCCTCACAGATTTCCAGCAGCTGCTTAATTTCTAAATAGTGAAAATCATAAGCTACAATAATATGTGCGGGGGTCCAGGTGCTGTGCATGCATAGTCGATTGTATGATAATAAACAACTGGATTCATCTCTGTAATTTATCACTGAGTCACCAGGACTTCAGAAAGATTATTTGAAATATATGTTGGCTACCTATACTTGATATAAGTGGCTACCTAAGTAGTTTTGCCTCCCTGATACACACATAACCAGCAATGTTTGTTACAAAAGAAATGTCTATAACTCATTCTACAGATAAAAAACAGTATAACCAAGTGACAGCATGAGACACTAGAAATGCGCTGAGTTCATAAGCAAAACTTCCACGAAAACGAGTTGATGACACTTCTAAGCTCTTACACTGGGTTAATAAAACCCAATCAGTCAAAGCATTTCAAAATTAAATTCCCCTTATTTTAATTCACAAAGAAGCAATATGTATGAATCTTACTTTACATACATAAAAACTAAAACACATTTGCCGGAGTCAGTGGCCTACTGGCTAAAAAGCACGTACACCAGCCTGATTCAACAGCAGAGTTACTGTTAGATTTCTTTTTAACATCATTTAACAAACTGCAGACATGAAACCAGCTTGAATACAGCTAGACAATGTTCTTCTGTAGGTTTTGTGATCCAGTTTTATACGATTACACCATCCATATATTCTAAAATGATATGAGTCAAAACCGGATCAAAACCACCATCTACAGTTTCTGACACCCACTGACATAATGAGAAGGTGAAGATGAGACGAATAAGTTAAGCAACACATGACAACAAAGAGATGGATGATATAGTAGCAAGCCAGATCTGGGTTTTGTTCTCTAAAGTTCAAATAATATTTTATCGACACTGATTTCATAAACTGCCTCTATAGGATGTAACCAATGCAATTTTGTCAAAGCAACAAAGAAGTTAAATCCCAAAGACAGACTGGTTGAGCTGCCTGAAGAGCTACAGTAACTCAGATAACAACTCAGAAAAGATCTCACAAAACACAAACCTTGAGGCAGATGTGCAACAACGTCAGAGGACCATGTTGGGTTCAAATAAGAAATCGGAGGCAGCAGTGGACACAAGCTCAGCAAGACTGAAGAGCTGAAGACTGGAAAACAAAAACAGGTTATATTTTCCAGTCTTCAACTCTCTCTCTCTCTCTCTCTAATGGAACTGGTTTCTTCAGCTGCTCAAACTGGTTTATTGAACAGTGTATTTCAGTGCATGGCTTTACCAGTCACCTGATCTGATTCCTGTAGAACACACTTAGGGTGTGGTAGAATACTTAAGATTCCCAGCATGAATGTACAACAAACAAATCTGTGTGAATAAAATAATGTCAACACAGTCATCGTCATCACCTTGTGGAACCCATGAAGAACTGAGGCTGTTTTGAGAGGCAGGCTAAACCTTGAGTTAGTGTTCCTAATAAAGTGCAGGGTGAGTTATTGAAAAGTGCTTCACAGATTTCCACTTTCATGACATCATTTCTTCACATAAATTGATTTATAATCCGACCTGGCAAAACTAAAAGCTCTTCATTTATAAATTAGCAGTTGGAGATACACAGTACAGCACATCATGTTAAATGTAAAGTCATTGGTCATCAGCTGCTCCACATTAATATTATTTCCTGTCAAACCAGAAACTTAAAAACACAGCAGAGTAATAAAAACTAAAAGGAGTTGCTTTGAATTGATTTGGGGCACTTTGAAGCTTTGTGTGTAACAGCACAACAAAGATGACACTTGTTTTGGAAGCATCTGCTGGATTTATGAGCTTCTAACAACAACCAACCTCAACAAGAGAGACTTCGATTTGACTGCAATGGTTTAGGGCAGTGAAATAGCTATTTCATCCCTGAATGCTCGGAGTGCACATCATTAGGAGACAAACATACAAACTGAGCAGAGACACATTAATACTTCAGCAAGTTCAAGTGTTGAAACACTTCAGCATCCACATCTCCACTGAGTCCAGAGAAACACACGGTCGCTTTCAACTTGAGGGAGAAGTGGTGTGTCAGAGGAAAAAGGCCATCAGAATCTCACAAACTGTGATGCACACAATGCTCACAGCATTTTGCAAAAGAGGACATAAGGTTTTAAAAGATAAAAACAGCAAAAACCTTCTTTTGTCTTGAATGAATGACCTTGAACGGCGTTTCTAAGTTTTCTCCTCCACAGGTTTGGACGGTTCTTGCTGTAAATCCACAGCACTGCTGTCTGACGTCAGGTGAGGTTGTTCACTGTCATCCTGTCAGCAAAACAAAAACCAATATACAAATCAATATATGAGTTTGAGTTAGAGTTTGGGTGTAGAAAAATTTGCAAACAAAGCTATTTTATCAA